TGACCGAGTTCGTGAGACACAAAGAGGTCATGTCGAAAATAGTAGATGAGATTAAAAGGGAGATCAACTCGAATAAAATCACTGACTCGCAACTATCTAACTTACCTTATCTACAAGCGAGTATCAAAGAAGCCATGAGATTACACCCACCSGTGCCTCTTCTTCTTCCACATATGGCGGCTGAAACTTGTGAGGTTATGAATTACACAATTCCTAAGAACTCCAAAATATTTGTCAATCTTTGGGCRATGGGCCGAGACCCTAAAGTTTGGGATGACCCATTATCTTTTAAACCCGAAAGATTTATGGACTCGAAATTGGATTTGAAAGGTCAAGACTTTGAGTTATTACCATTTGGTTCGGGGAGAAGGATGTGTCCAGGAATGCCCTCAGGTATCAAAAGTGTTCAACTTGTATTGGCATCTTTGATTCATGAGTTCGACTTGATTCTTCCAAATGATGTTGATCCTATGAAGCTCAACATGAATGACAAATTCGGGATTGCTTTGAAAATGGAGGAACCTTTGAAGCTAATCTTCAAACAAAAAAGAGAACATCAATATGCTTAATTCGTATTGGATTTCCTGTCATATATTCGTATCTAAAAGTTAAAATCAATTAATTCATGTTATTTCATATGTAATTCAAGTTATTTTATGTATTTTTAAATATCTCAATAAATGAAGCAGATTTAATAAACCTGTAATGTAATGTTCCTCGTTATCTTTTGTTTGGCTTTTCTAATATTTTTTGTATCGAATGGTCGAGGAAATAACTACATTACCATTTTAATGCTTCATATTTTAGGTACTGTTAAAATATATCGGGTTTAAGGTTCGTAAGAAATCACTGTAATATTTATGATCGTGTAGAATCACTTTCCTTCAGAAATATTTCGACCTTCTATTTACCACACTAGTACAAAAACTCACAAAGGTCACGGTAAAAAAACGTATCCGGAGGCCTATAGCCACAGTTTTATTTTCTTCAATCGATTCATAGCCTATTCTACCGTGACTACTTTTATTATCCTTATGGCCACATTTAAAATTGTCACCATATCTCGTGAAAAACCGAAGTCATAGCCTAAAAAGTTGTGGCCATAAACATATCCAAATTTTTATGGTATTGAAGCATTTTTCCTAAAAGCGTGGCCATAAACTACTTATCAATACAGAAAATGACGTTTAAACGTGGCAAATTATTGCATATAACCATGCTTATTTTTTATTACTGTGGCTATTGGTGGTATGATTGTTTTCAGAAGTTTTGGCAATTCGACAACTATAGATTATGTGGTTTATTGATCTATTGGTTGCTGTCATAAGTTTTAATCAGCTGCTAGTTCTTTGGTATGATCTGAAACAAACGTTACTTTTATGGAATGTTTGAATTTCCACATTATGGGTTCATTTGATCATAATCTACAGGCCTGAAATTAGACTTCTTCATATGCGAGTTTTTAATACGTGGTTTAGTCCACATTAGACAATGGTTAACTTTCTTCAAATGTTAACTGTTGATATATGGCTTATTCTATAACATAGTGGTTGCTACATCTWGAATGGTGATTCTCATATGTTGGCTGCTGATAAGTGGACTGGTTTGTACCAGATCCAAGAGTTGACTCTATGCTTGATGGATGGTACATATATTTTGTAGCCATGGTAAGYATTTTTCATTCTAATATGCTTYTGTTGGTCTCAGCAGTTGTGTGTGTGAATGACTATATGATGATTTCTAGTATTGGAAATTAAGATGGATAAGGATAGGGATTTGGAGGAGGATATCRGGATTTGGAGGAGGAGATCGGAAATAGCTTGAAGGGGTTTTTGTTTTTGATCCATTAGTAATGGTATGCTTCTATTAGAGTTAATTACCAACATATGGGCTTTTACATTGTTTATTTTTGGTCCATTTCTAGTRACCTATTTAAGTTGGGTAACTGGGTCATTAAATCTATCATTGGGTTMTGAGTTAGGCTTTTGTTGCCCTGGGTGTCATTTTGTAATTAGGAGGGTATGCCTTTTCTATGATGTTATTTAAAAGGGGCTCTGGTTGGTCCTCATAGTAGAACCAGGGGGTTCTAGAATGATGATTTGAGATTTATACAAGTCTTTTACTAAAGTTTTGGTTGAACCAGAGGCTCTGTATCTATTAGATAAGAGCTTTGTGGCTAAATCATACCTTAAAAGATATTTCAAAGATTTTTACACTTAGAAAATTTCCATGTAAATAAAGACAGACTAGAGGGGCTCTCGTTGGCCTACGCATTGGACCAGAGGCTCTGGTTGGTCTTGCATTTTGAGCCAGAACCCTGGCTAGTATAACTAGAGCTCTGGTCATACATGATCCTTTTAAAAATATGTTTTTATTCTTGGGAAAGTTATTTTATTATTAAAGATGTTGATCTATGAACGTTTTGAGAGTTTTGCTTAAGTAAGAGGCTCTGGTTGGCTTAACCAGAAGCTCTGGTAGAGGAACCAGAGGGTGGTCCTCTTGTTTGCTAAAATATTTTCTAAGTCTGGTCTTTGGAACCAGAGGTCCGATGGACACAAACAGAATGTGGAATTATATTTCCTTTTATGAAATGATTTTATTTGAATAATGTTTTGGTAATATTCACCCTGCCACTACATGGAAAAAAAGGGATCTCAGTATACTTATAGGTCTAACCCTCATTTTGTGTTTTCAAATATGTATTGTATGAAATGCTGAGTATAATGATAGTAAAGAAAAAGGCAAATTGTGAATTATCTCTCTATAGGTTTAGCCTTATGAAGATCGATGGATGCATTTTGATATTAGGTGATATATAGTACAAGAGCATGTATTTTGGAACTTTTCTTTCGTTACCTAAAAGGGACAACTGATCTTAGACTTTGGTGTCCTGAAGATACGGGCTTTGAACTAATAGCATTCACAGATGCAGATCGTACAGGTTGTATGTTAGAAAGGAAAAGTACGTCGGGTCATGTACAATTCTTAGGAGACAAGTTAGTGAGTTGCGCATCAAAGAAACAGAACTGCGTGTGCATATCTACAGCTGAAGCAAAATATGTAGCTGCTGCTAGCTGTTGTTCTCAAGTTATCTGGATGCGTACTTAATTCAAAGACTATGGTTTTCCCTACAACAAAATTCCTATATATTGTGACTCGAAGAGCGCAATTGTCATATCTTGCAATCCTGTTCAACACACAAAAACCAAGCATATCGATATCCGATATCATTTTATTAAAGATCATGTAGAAAAGGTTACTATTGAATTGTATATTGTTAGTACAAAATATCAGCTTGCCGGCTTGTTTACAAAAGCTTTCGATGAAAAACGTTTTGGCTTTTTAATATCCAAGTTAGGTATGTTGAATTTGAAAATCTGAATTTCCTATAAAATATGTTCAATAAGTTGAAAATTTTAAATTTATTAATCAATTTCTCTGACTGATAAATTTCAATTTTTTATCCATATTGAATTTAGTTTATGTTAAATTATATGTTTACTAATATCTATATTTTCAAACTGCTTTCCAATGTATTAATTTTCTTCTAATCTAATGCTTTTGATCCTATGCTAATTTTAAAGGGGAGTTAAGTATTTTTTTCAAACTGTTTGAATTTTATCTTGTCTAATTTTAAAGGGGAGTAAGTATTTTTTTTTCTTCATATTTATCTGAATGATGAAAGGGTTACTTAACTGATATATTTTTACCGGTTGTTTAAAGAAATAAAAGAATTGGGAGATGAGTCTTTTAACAAAGGCTTGGGCAATGAGCATTCTGCTCAAAGCCTGAGCGATGAAGTAATTATCCGGACAAGGCACAAACGATGAGCTTGTTATTCGGATAAGGTCAAGCGATGAGAGATGAATATGTCTTGAAAGAGGTATCTGGACAAAGGCTAGGGCAATGAGCTTCTAATCCGCCCAAGGCCTAGAAGATTATCTTCAAGGGTAAAGCTTGAACAATGAGGTTCTTCACTGTTTAAAACTTGACTGATGAATATGCTTCATCGACCAAAACTTGAGTGATGAACCTTTTCATTGATCAAAGAGTTGAGCGATGAACCTCTTCATTGGACATAGTGTTTAACGATGAACTCCTTCGTTGGACAAAGCTTAAGTGATGACCGTGTTTTATCGGTCAAAGCGTTGAGCGATGAAGAATATGTATTGTTCAAATCTGTGTGTTTCATTTCTAACCAATCACAATGTGACATGTAGTCAAAGTTTTTACCCTATATAAAGGGTGTTTGAATTCATTTTCATTTTTTACACTACGTTACATCTCTCTTCATCCTATACCTTCACCGGACATAGCTTTCATCGACTACGTCGCTCTTCATCAACCAATTGCTTCAAGACATTCTTCTTCATTTTCCATTCATGTTCAAGAACTGTTATTGAGCTTTTGACCTGTGTCGAACTCTTTGGACTTAATCTAATTTGCTTAAAAAGTTTGTAATAAGACTGGAACCAAAAGCCTTATTCTTAACTGTGCTCTTAATATTGATATACTCTTGAACGATAGGGACTATGTGCGATGAGTGTTTCATTTTGATTGTTCTTGATCAAATATTTTGAATCTGAAATGTTTGAGCGATAAAATTTGTCTGAGTTTGAATTTTTGAGCGATGAGTGTTCTTAAGTGTCTGAGCGATGAGTGATGAATTTTTTAACGGTAGGTGTTGTATTTTTTTTGTGAGCGATGTGTGTTGAAAGATATGTATTGATTTAGATGAGCGATGAGTGAATCGAGTTAGATGAGCGATGACTGATGAACACTTGAGCGATGAGTGTAATCTCTTGAGCGGTGAGTGCTAATTTTTTTAAGCCATGAGTACAAGTTATTTGGGTGATTTTTTTTTTGTGTATTGAACGATGAGTAGTATTTTTTTTTCTCCTTGATTTTTTTTCCTTTCTAATTTTTTTATTCAAAACTTTTTTTCCCAGTCAGTAAATATTCCTGATCTCGATGAAGTCATTTTCCCAACTACCCTATATTTTGACTTCAAACCAAACAACCACCACCTAAACCTTGAAATGTCTTCTGAATATCCGATTATCCTTGAAATCTTAAAAGGCCACAAAATATCCAATGTTTTAACTTCTACAACTGATGTTCCGTTAGTGTATTTGCTACAATTGTGGCATACGCTATCGTTTATCAAGCAAGGAACCAAATTTTATTTTGAAGGAAATGTTGATCATTTTCTAGGCCGTTTGACRCTAAAACGATTTTGGAGAATTTTGARCTTGCCAAAACCTGATTCCATACATGGAAAAGATGACTTTGATGACTTTATTTCTGATGAAGAACTTTGTGCTGATATCAAAAGGATGGGCTATTCTGCARTTCTCAACCATCCATCGTAGTTCAAACTTATATTCCTACCTTTTGTATGACATCTACAATTTTCCATTCTGAATAGGTGCCTTACCTCAAAGACTTCGGGCGTGGACACATCCAGCACATCATTTCTAAAGTTTTTCATGGCATAGTATTCAACAAACACAATGACTATGTGATAGTCATCTGGAACGATCTTGCGGATCTGGTTCATGCAAAGAGATTCCTCTCAAAAGCA